GAGCGCAGGCGGTTCTGGGGGTGCCTCCTGCTCAGATCTGCTGCGAGGACACAGCCCGGACCTCGTCACACACGTGGGGCAGCGAGACGAGGCCATCAAGACGTGGGTCGTCGTCAGGGGCCGGGCTCTGCTCCTGTGCCCGTGCCCTCTGTCACCTTCAGCCGCCGGCATCCGGGGCCCTCGAAGCCGGCCCCTCCAGGGAGGCACTGCCATGCCCGCTTCCTCCTACCTGACCACGGCCCTCACGTGGCAGATCCGCCCAGTGAGCAGGTGCCGGGGTGGGGAAGGCCTTCGAGTGCGGTGGCGACAGGAGTCCCTGTGGCCGCCGGGGAAGGGGGCGGCAGGCAGCAGAGCGAGGAGGCGTGGGGAGGGTGCCCTCGGACCCTCTCAGGCTGAAGGGGAAACGCGGGCCCAGTGAAGGCGCCGCGGTCGCTCAAGCAGCGCCCGTGCCCGGGTCCCAGGCCGGTGCCCGCAGCCAGGTGTCGGGTCCTGCTGGCTACAGCCGCGTGGACGTGAGTCTCTTCATGCCCCTGCGCTGGGCCAGGCTGGACGACAGCACGGGCTCCAGCCGCGGGGCCTGGGGCGTCCTGTGGAGGGCAAGGTAGGTGGCAGCCATGGCGCCCTGCAAGGCAAGGGAGAGGCAGTGACCGCGGGGTCTCCGCTCCTGCCAGAGCCAGCGGCGCGGCCTCTGGGCCTCGGTTCCCCCACGTGTGCGGGGCACAGGGCCGCCGCGGGACGCTGAGAGCTGCAGGGACCTTCGGTCTTATCTCTGTGTTCACCTGACACCCACGGCGGCGGCAGCTGCGCTGGTCACTTGGGGTAAATATTCCAGACGCCCACGGGGCCCCAGGCTGAGGTCAACCGCCCCCACTTTGGCAGGCGCCGGCCTGCTCTCGGCCTGCGATGTCCCCACCGCACACTGGCACCCGGCCAGGGCCTGGCCACCTCCCATTGGCCACTTACAAGTTTTTAAAAAATTGGTTTCGGAGAGAGGAAGGGAGAGGGAGAGAGAGAAACATCAACAATGAGAGAATCACTGATGGGCCGTCTCCTGCACGCCCCGCACTGGGGATGTGCCAGGGAACCTATTAGAATATTAGAGGAGAGTGTGTGTGTGTGTGTGTGTGTGTGTGTCGGGGAGGGGGTGGCTGCTGCTTTGTGAATAAAGTTTTACCAAATGAAGCCGCACCCGACTGACCGCGGATCTGCTGTCTCGGATGTTTCTGTGCAACACAGTGGAACGGAGTTGAGACAGAGGCATCCGGCTCGAAACGCCTCAAATATTTACTGTCTGGGCTGTCGGAGAAGTGCAGACCTTTGGTCTAGAATTGAGGACTTTGGGACCAGGAGTTGGCACAGCCCTGATATTCTCTCTCTCTCTCTCTCATGCACTGAAGCTGTGAGATGGAGCAGAAGCTATAACTACTCAGCGTCCTGCACGTGTTGCGTGTATGTGATGAGCTCTGCGCTCTGAATCCTGAGGTGAACGGGGAGGCATCACAGCACCGTTTCGCGCCCCACCCCCCGCCCCCTGCTCCCGGCCTCCTGACACCCGAGTACCTTCACCAGGTGGACGTCCTGCCGGCTGAGCTGGCTCTGGGGCAGGTGCTCTCGGTTCACCACCCACGGGTGTTTGAGGACCTGAAGTGCCGTTAGGCGCTGCTGCGGGTCCACGTGCAGCATCTGGGACACCACGTCCTGCGGGAGCCGGAGGCGGGAGAGGGAGCGAGTGGTCACAGCCGCCCGGGAGCCCTCCCCCCTCAAGGGCAGGCCTGGCCACTGTTCTCCGTCCCAGCTGCCGCCTGCCTTCTAATGGGCTTCCCAGCCTCCATAGTCACGCAAGCCCATTTTTATTTATTTTTATTTTTTTAAATATATTTTTATTGATTTCAGATAGGAAGAGAGAGATAGAAACATCAATGAGAGGGAATCATTGATCAGCTGCCTCCTGCACGCCCCCTACTGGGGATCGAGCCCGCAACCCCAGCATGTGCCCTTGACCGGAATCGAACCTGGCACCCTTCAGTCCGCAGGCCGACGCTCTGTCCACTGAGCCACACCAGCCAGGGCACGCAGGCCCAATTCTAAAAATATCAGCTTCTCTCTGTCTCTCTCTGTCACACACACATCCCATGGGCTCTGCTACACCAAGGCCGTAGAACATGTGAAAAGGGCTATAACGTGTTTTTGCCAAAATCTTTTTTAGCTGAGCAGCTTTGAAAACAATCTTGCTGATGAAACATCCGCGTTGTGGGCGTGAAGGGGTCCCTGGCTCGGGGGCAGATGGATGGCTGCTCTGAGCGCCCTCCCCGAGAAGCCCCGGCGTGAGCTCACCTTGGCCGCCTCCGAGACGGAGTCCCAGTTCCCCCCGGACAGCGCGTACTTCCCGCTGCCGATCCGCGCCAGGATCTCCTCCGGAGTGTCGTCCGGCCCGTTAGCAAAAGGGGTGAATCTGCGTAACGAGAGGGTGTATGGGGTGAGGCCGCGTGATCTCAAAGTTCACAACGGAATCCTGCCTTTTGGTTGTTAAAATGGCCTTTCCTTAGCCCGGCCGGCATGGCTCAGTGGTTGAGCATTGACCTAGGAGCCAGAGGTCACGGTTCGATTCCCGGTCAGGGCACATGCCCGGGATTTGCCCTCGACCCCCCAGTAGGGGATGTGCAGGAGGCAGCTGATCCATGATTCTCTCTCATCATTGATGTTTCTGTCTCTCCCTCTCCCTTCCACTCTGAAATCAATAAAAATATATATTTAAAAACAGCCGTTTCTTCCCCATTGTGCTCCAAATCCAGCATTCATGGTAAAGCACAATTTACTTCTGAGTGCTCCGTCCACGTCCTCACTCGGTCACGGCCGGGGTCAGCGGGGCAGGTGAGCCAAGCTCCGTGGACCCAGCACGAGCTTTCCTGGACCACTTCTGGCTTCCCTGGCGACAGGGCACAATAGTGGTCGGCCCCCTGGCTCGGTCTCCATGGTGACAGCGTGATATGATGGGTGAGAGCTGGAGACTTGAGGTCTGAGGGACCCCTGGTTCATCTATCACCGACTCTGGGTTCTCTGACAAATTATTTTTGGGCTTCAGTTGCAACACGGGTAGAATCATGGGCTCACAGGGACCTCAGTACCACAGGCGAACACGCAGAACATGCGTGCTCAATGTGTGCTCAGTGCGTGCCCACCGTGAATGCGCGACGGTGTGCACTGTCCCCTGGAGTGTAGAGCAGGGCCCACGGGTACCCGCTCTCCGAGCAGGGGGTTCTGGTAGCTCTCACAGCCAGGCCGTGACCTCAGCCCAGGGACCCGGCAGCGTGAGGCCAGGGAGCCCGGCCCCCTCCTCCCTCCGGCGCTAGTCACCGATTTACGAGGAAATCCTCGTCAGGCCGGCCCCTTCGTCCTCGCGAGGCCCCGTGTCCGTTTTGCGGCCGTAAATAGGATGGGTGGCCCCTCCACTCGAGTATTTATTCGACTTGAAACGCTGGGCACCAGGGGGTGAGGATTCTAGACTCCATGCTGGAGGAGCCTCAGACACCACACAGCGTTTGCCTCTCATTCAAAGGGAGGGAGCGCAGGCCCGGGGGTCAGCAGTCAGCCGGCAGCTGAGCTCGAGAGGGAGACACGACCCACACCTCCGGGTGCCTGGTCCCGGAAACTGGTCCCCGCACGTCTGACGGCCACAGCGGCCACAGCGGCCACAGCGGCATGAGCGGCTGCCTACCGCCTGGTACTGTCTGACCAGGCCTTCATGGGCGCTTCCTGGCTCAAGAGGACGATTTTAATTTTACTTGTTTTTATTTTTGTTAATCCTCACCCGAGGACATTTTCCCATAGATTTTTAGAGAGTGGAAGGGAGGGGGAGAGAGAGAGAGAGAGAACATTGATGTGAGAGAGACACATGGATTGGTTGCTCTGCAAGCGCCAGACCAACCGGGGCCAGAGAGGGGGCCTGAAACCAGGTGCATGCCCTTGACCGGGATCGAACCTGCGACCCTTCGTCTGCAGGCCGCCGTCAGGAGCATGATTTTAGCCCTAACCAGTTTGGCTCAGTGGATAGAGCGTCGGCCTGCGGACTCAAGGGTCCCAGGTTCGATACGGTCAAGGGCATGTACCTTGGTTGCGGGCATATCCCCAGTAGGGAGTGTGCAGGAGGCAGCTGATCGATGTTTCTCTCTCATCGATGTTTCTAACTCTCTTTCTCTCTCCCTTCCTCTCTGTAAAAAAATCAATAAAATATGTTAAAAAAAAAAAAAGAGCATGGTTTTAAGGAGCGGATGTGTGGACACTTTCAGGGAGTGGCCCTGTGGTGGCAGGATGTGGGCGGAGGCCCGAGGCCTGGGTGTCGGTGGGTGAGCGGGGCCTGCAGCCCAGGCCCCTAATCTGGAGGGACCTCCTGGAGGAGGCGTGGCCCAGGGCCCTGCCTGCTTCTCGCTTCTCCTGGAAGGGCCTGAGGGAGCCCGAGGTTCGCCCACACCCGGGCCCCGGGGACAGGGCCAGCCTGCAGGCCCGTGGTGGATGTGGACGTAACGCCCGGGCGCTGGCACCGGCAGGTCTGCTCACCCCGCCAGCATGGTGTACAGCAGGATGCCCAGGCTCCAGATGTCACAGGCCGCGTCATAGCCTTGCCGCTTCAGGACCTGGGGGACAGACGCCACAGGTGAGCACTGGGCGGGGACAAGGCAGGCCTCGGCGCACTGCTCCCGTGGGACCGGATCCCGCAGCGTGGGGACGGGTGTCGTTCATTCAGGCAAAGCCACCCCAACGCGCTCCACGGCTCCCCAGAGGCCAGCCCCTCCGGGAGCCACAGACCGAGGAGGGAGCATCGAATTGTTAAGGCAGAAGAAGACGGGTGTCGTTCATTCAGGCAAAGCCACCCCAACGCTCTCCACGGCTCCCCAGAGGCCAGCCCCTCCGGGAGGCACAGCCTGCGGGGCACAGGCTCGCAGACCGAGGAGGGAGCATCGCATTGTTAAGGCAGAAGAACTGCTACATGAAGGTCAAATAGAACGTGACACCGACGCCCCAACCGCCTGAGGAGCGGCGCTGAGTGCCGGCCACCACCTCCACCTCCAGAACCTCTGCGTCTCCCCAACCTCAGCCCCTCTCACCCTCAGCCCCCGGGCCCTGCCCGCCCGCCCTCTGTGCCTCTACCCTGAGGAACTGTATTAAAGGGTCGCGGCATTAGGAAGGTTGAGAACCACTGGCTTAAATGCAGGTCAAATAGAACGTGACACCGACACCCCAACCGCCTGAGGAGCGGTGCTGAGTGCACTCGCGCTGTGCCAGCCGCCACCTCCACCTCCAGAACCTCTGCGTCTCCCCGACCTCAGTCCCTCTTACCCTCAGCCCCCAGGCCCTGCCTTCGCACCCTCTGTGCCTCTACCTGACCCTCCAGGTACCAGACAGGGTCACCCTCTGTGCCTGGCCCATCTCCTCCTATAATGTCCTCCAGGCGCGCCTGTGTCGCCTGGGGCGGGATGTCCCTCCCTGAGGCTGGGCCATGTCCTGTCGGGCTGTGGACGGACCACACACGGTGCTCCCTTCAGCCCTCGTGACCCCCGGGCGGCTCCCACCCGGGGCCACTGTGTCACGCTGCTGCGAGCAGGCGGGCAGAGTCAATAAACGGATAAAATAAGCCGTGTCTGAGCAGGTCAGTGGCCCTTCCTTTGGATTGTGTGCGAGGCCGCCACACCCTGCCCCTCTCGCTCGGGAGCTCACCTCGGGGGCCACGAAGTTGGCCGTGTAGCAGGGCGTCATCAGCAGCCCGTTCTCGGCGCGCAGCTGCTTGGCGAACCCGAAGTCGCAGATCCGGATGGACTCGGGGTTCCCGGACTCGTCCACGTACAGGATGTTGCTCGGCTTCAGGTCCCGGTGCACGACCTGCAGAGGCAGGAGGGACCGCCTAACAGGGGGGAGCCCTTTACTCTGAGCAGCCCTGCAGCAGGGCAAGGCAGCCCCCCCTTCCACACTGACTCGCACCCGAGGAGCCCCCGCAAGCCCCTCTGGCGGTGAGTGAGATCTGAATGAATAACAAATGGGCAGCGATGCTGGACACGGGGCGGCTCAGGGGCTGGGAGACAGGAGGTGTGGCGACTGCCCTGGCCGGTGGCGGATTTGATCCCGTCAGGGCGCGTACAGGGGGCAACGGATCGATGTTTTTCTCTCACAGTGATGTTCTCTCTTTCCTCTCCCTTCCTCTCTCTCTAAAAATCAATAATAAAGACATATCCTTGAGTGAGGATTTTTTAAAAAAGGAAATGCGGTGAGTTCAGGTAACCTGAATATAAAGGTTTCTGAAGATGAATATTTGTGCCTGGCCAGCGTGGCTCAGTGGTTGAGTGTTGACCTATGAGCTAGGACAGGGGTCCTCAAACTTTTTAAACAGGGGGCCAGTTCACTGTCCCTCAGACCGTTGGAGGGCCGGACTATAGTTTAAAAAAAAAACTATGAAAAAATTCCTATGCACACTGCACGTATCTTATTTTGAAGGAAAAAAAAAACGGAAACAAATACAATATTGGCCAGCGTGGCTCAGTGGTTGAGTGTTGACCTATGAGCTAGGAGGTCATAGTTCAATTCCCGGTCAGGGCACATGCCCGGGTTGTGGGCTCGATCCCCAGTGCGGGGTGTGCAGGAGGCAGCGGATCAGTGATCCCCATCATTGATGTTTCTCTCTCTCTCTCCCTCCCTGAAATCAATAAAGATATCTATATAAAAAGAGGGCTATTTGCCTCATGCCCAGTGCATCCCGCAGGGTTAGGTGTCACTGCACCAGGGATTTCAGACACAGGAGGCCACATGCACAGCTCTGCTCCCCTCGCCCCGCCCCCAGCCCCCC